TGGTTCAGTAAATTTTCTTTTTTCATAGTTTGTGCTAATCGACTGTGCAAAATGAATTTCCCTCAGAAAATAAAGTCTTATCTTAAGTGTAAGACGTTGAGCAATATTTACTTTTAGGAAGTTATCATTATTGTTGGAAGAGAATATATGGATGTCCACTTATGAGGAACACAACGTTTCAGAGTATGTGCTTACTCCTTCATCAGGTGTTTCGGAGTATGTGCTTACTCAAACATCGGGTGTTTTGGAGTATGTGCTTGCTCCTTCATCGGGTGTTTCGGAGTATATGCTTACTCCTTCATCAGGTGTTTCGGAGTATGTGCTGTCTCCTTCATCAGGTGATTTGGCAATCTGGAATTCTGCATGTATAAGCATGTCAAAATTATTTCTGGGACTCCTTCCAAACATCACTCGAACAGTTTTTCTGATTTGTGGAAACAAACATACACATTCTCATGAGGGTTCTGTTAAAACGTTATACCATACTGCTACACTGAGGGTGACAAGGGGTTGTCCTTGTTTTCCTTTTGGTAAGTAAACTGCATACTTCCTCCAATACAGCAGATTTAAAACTGAGGCCCTGATCACTTAAATTACTTTCGGTATCCCGTAACAGCAAAACACTTCGTTCACAAGAACTTGTCTGGTTTGCAATTGCAAAAGCCTCTGGCCACTTGGTACACTAAATCACACAACAAGAATGACTTGTGTCCACGTTCAGACGGTGGTAAAGGTCCCACAATGTCTACTTAATGTGTTGAAATCCTTAGCATAACATGTGTGTTCTGTCTCTTTCCAGTTTCTGCTTTCAGACGATTTTCCATTCCCCACACAGTGTCTTACCTCATTAAGAATTTTGTCTTCTTTTTGTGCTTTTCCTACCTATTCCATAAATAATACTGTCATTAATTTTGTCCCATCTGCAGAAGACTCTTCCATGTTTCCCACATGGCGATCCTTGCTAGATGACACTTGTCCTAATCCACTACCTTTGGCATCAGTATACAAATCGAAAGGATCTTGAACACAGTAGGCTGACACCCAGGGTTAGTGACATTACGTTTCCTTAAGTTCCTGTCCGATGAAATGGCCTATCTTTGGTGGTGAGCAGGTGATCGACATGGACCTGGTACTTGGACAAAATGTGTATTAAGAAGCTAAACCGATAAAGCTTTTTAACTCTTTCACATTATTAGGAACAGGATAATGCTTTCACCTTGTCAGTTTTCCTTGGATCTGGTTTCACTCCATCCTCCGAGACAACATGTCCCAAATACTCTACCTCTGCTTGAGCAAAGTGTCATTTTTCCAGCTTAAAGTTCAGTTTGGCTTTTCTAAGATGCTGTAACACCTGGTGCATCCTCCCTTTGTACTCATCATATCCCTTTAAACTTGTCCAAAAGGTGTTGCACTTGCTGTTTTCTCTCTGTCCTCAGGATTTATCTCTATTTTCCAGAATCCTGAGCATTAGTCCAATGTGGAGGAAAGACCTGAATTTGACAACCTGTTTTGACAGATCCAAGTGTATGCTAGTTTCTTCTCCATGTCTACTTGATTTATGATCCACCGTATTAACACAATTTACAATTGCTGTATTTCCTAATGTTGTGTTTTTCCAGAGCTTGATGGGAAACGGTGGGATGTTTGCTAATCTGGAAGGAATATTTCTATCACTTACTTTTGCTAGCAACTCTTCCAACCATGATACCTGTCCTCTCCCTTACATTGTAGCTTGGCTTCACTCACTATTCCCTCTTGGCCTTCAGTGCAGTGTCCACACCCATTACTAAGTCTGCAGGTACGACTATATTTCATGTTTTGATTCAACAACATCTTCTCTGACAAAGACTCTGCATCCACATGTTTTTCAGTATTGTTGGATCCTCTATTCAGCACGTTCATTCTTCATTAAGTATTACAAGTGTAGGATAATTTCTCCTTTTCAAGGTCTAGGCACATTTGTGTTTCTTCAAAAAGTTGCTTCCCAAAAATACATGTATTCATTAAACCTCTGACCACCAATACTTCATGCTACACTTTTAGATCGCCAACTGTAACAATTATCTTTCCAACAACATTTCCCCCTTCAGCAAGTGCAGGTTTTGTGTGCTCTGTAGGTGTTTATCCCAACTGTTGACACAGTTTCTCCTGAATAATAGCGGCAGTTGATCCCAAATCTTTTTACATGGGTACTTCGAAATAATTTACTTTTATCTTTATTATTGTTTCTGTGTTTCCTCACAAACAGGAGATATCTTCTCTGGAGTCTTAACATGAATATTGTTTTCAACTGAATGACCTCTTTTAATGTGTCTACATTTGATCTCATCACTCCTCTTTTCACTGATGGCAACAACCCATGTCGAAAATATCCGACAGCTACAACCTCATGTCGCATATGCTTTCTTTTCAAGAATTGAAATACTTCCTGCAAATTCCTCAACTGACCCATTTGACGACTGCTTTCTATTTCGCAATTCATTCAAATATACTGAACTGTAAAAGAAACGTCACCCCAAGTAACATTGCATGAAAAGTTGTCATTAAAATATCTGAGTAATTTTTGTCAAAGTTTCTAAAATTTAACATTACCTTGTCCGGAAAAATGCAATTTGATGATAAAGAAACAAAGCAGATGACAATAAAACCGATCGCCCAAACGCATCACGGCAATGGTCATGGTAACCCGATGCAAATTGAAATGCACATGCTTTCCCTCATTTCTTGCTCTATAAAAATCCACACAGATCGGATAACATTCATTCGTTTTTGAATTGCTACCACATGCCAAGATTGACAAGAAATCAGCGACACAAAGCCCTTGGACGATTGCAAGCTGGACAAACCGCCCCGCAAGTAGCCAATGCATTTCAAGTCCACGTAAAGACCATAAACAGGCTCCAGCAACGGTACCAGACCACCAACACTACAGATGACCGAAGACGTAGTGGAAGACCATGGGTCACCACCCGACGTCAGGATCGTCAGATTGTGCTACAGCATCTTCAAGATTGGTTTGTTACTGCTGCAGAAACTGCTCGACAGACCATGGGGACACACTACCGGCACATTAGTGCAGACTCCGTGCGTCGACGATTGACGAGCAGACACCTCCACTGTCACAGGCCACACCAAGGACCCATTCTGACAACACGTCATCACTGGGACCGTCTTCAGTGGGCAACACAGCACTAGCATTGGCGCCACCAGCAGTGGAAAAGAGTCCTCTCCTCAGACGAGAGCCTTTACTGTATCTCAACAGCAGATGACAGAGAGAGTCTGGCGACACCGTGGGGAACGTTATTCGGATGCTCACGCTATACCTCATTTGGCACGTCGCCTCAACCACGCGTTTCAGCATGATAACGCCCGTGCCCACACTGCGAGAGCAACAAGAGACTTCCTCCAGCAGAATGGCATCAGAACCATGCAGTGGCCTGCCCTCAGTCCCGATTTAAATCTCATTGAGCACCTGTGGGACGAGATTCAAAGACGGCTGAATGACATCTGACCGAGGCCCACAACTGCAGCTGAACTGCGTCAGGCGTTCCTCAGACTGTGGGCTCAAGTGCCTATGGCCTTCATCAACCGCTTCATCCATTCCATGTATCAACGTTGCACGGCAGTCATCAATGCACATGGCGGACACACGAGATACTGACTTGTGATGCCATTTTCTCAGAGACTAGTGTTGTGTTTCACTTTCACTCAATACTTTCCATGTTTTATACAGGCTGCATTTGAACCAAATACACAACCAGGCAGTGTATTTATACAGGCGCCAAAGTGACTGGACATTCTCTGTTGATGTAAATGGACACAATTGGCTTACAGCTATCATAAAGTATCTCCAACTCGAAGGGCTAACTCTAAAAGCTATGTATGCGGATATAGTGTCAACGTTTGGAAACGTACTTCTTTCTTTGTCACTCTTAAGAGGTAGGCAGCAGAGTTAAAGAGGGAAAGAGAGAGCCTCGAAGATGATCCAAGATCAGGAAGCCCTTCAACTGCCACCACTAAGGAAAATGTTGATACAATACATGGTATGATTGTGGTAGATGATGTCACACAGCCAGTACAGTGGGCATCTCTCATGAGGGAGTTGAGAACATTCTGAGAAATGAACTGAAAACAGGTTTCAGCGTGCTTTGTTCTAAGGCTTCTGGCTGTTGATAGACACGATCCAAGTAAACTATCGCTCTTGAGAATTTACAACCTTCTGTAGCAGGCCCAGCCGATTTTGTTGAGTGATTTCTAACCAAGTATGAGTTTTCGGGCTCACTACTAAGAGCCAGAGACAACACAACTGTCAAAGCAGACTAACCTCTCCTCCTCCTTTGAAGAAGGCAAATTCTGTTCCATCAGATGGCAAAGTGACAGCAAGGTGATCAAGGCTGAAAGTCGCAGGAACACTCACTGAAGGCATGCTGTTGTACCATGACAATGAACATGTTCACAAGTCTGTTGTCGCCTTGGCTGCAAATGCATGACTGTGGCTTTGGATTTGAACACCCTCTGTATTGACGACTAACGGGATCGGGGGGTCAGGCTTGGTGACTTGGTTGATGCATGACATCGTATCCCAATAACTTAGATCGATGCGCATGATGTCAATCACTGGATTGTCTGGACCAGACTCGATTATTTACAGTCCGTTTACATCAAACAAACCTGATTTGGCACCGTCAGGTTTCCACCTCTTCCAAAACTTGAAGGAAGAACTGTCTGGCATGTAATATGCAAATGATAATGACGTTCATTGGTTGAGGGATGCATTTCAGCAAAAAGGTCAAATCATATAACCACACAATTTGTGACGTGTTTCCAACAAAAATAACAATAAATTGACTTATGTTTTGCTGACAAACGTATATTCGTTATTTTCATCCCCATTGTCTAAAACACTGTATCTGCACTTGAATTATCATTGGTTGCTTTCTTGCAACAATGTTATTTTATTTATATATCATTTGTTTAGGTCATGAACATAAAAGTGACCATGCGTTCATAATTGAGTTTATTCAGCGTATTTTAATACAGACATATACATAGCATTTGAAAAGCACTAAAAGCACGCGAACAAAGAAAATTAGACTGATTAGAAGCAATTTTGTATGAATAACAGTTTATATATATTACATAACGAATATTGACAACTATATTGATACTTGATTGGTGAAAAACGTAATATATTCTTTACGGTTTTGCACAATATTACTCTACCTGTTATCAAAATCTATTCACAAGTTTTTACGAGATATAAAAAAAATATTCTTGGAACCAGAAAAGGATCTGACATGTGTACACTTAAAGCACGCGTTGACCAATTATGGGGTCACGGGTTGCCGAGTTGCCTTAGGCCCATCTTCCCGAGGCAAGGGAGTTAATTAACTGTAAAAGTCCTTGCCGAACAAGGCTGGAAATTCTGGGTTCGATCGAAGCGCTACCAATGACTATTACGGGTTATGTCCTTTCTATGTCCATCCTATTGACCAATCAGATTCCACTTGCTTGTAACAAAATGGCGGGGCCCAGTCGAGACGATCTGATCGATAATCAATATCGAGGGTTTTATTTATAAAGGGTCTTATTTCCTTTCGCGAAGTGCATCCAATCACGTAAGCACCTTGATTTGATACATGAAAACATTTGGAAAATATCTGTTGACACCGTATTGGAGGTACACAGGCTTTGCAAATACTACAATCGACCGAAATCTGCACGGCAGTTGACGAACCGGATGTCAATTTCATTAGGCGATTTTGATTGGACTATGCATAGACTCGTTAGTCCAGCCAAAATATAACTCCATAATTGCAGCCTAGTTAGGCAAGGGTGGAAACTGGACTTTCAAAGTCAGTTAACTCACCTGCCTCGGGAAGATGCCTTAGGTACCGCAATTCACATCTGAGGGCTGCATCACTTCGAGATTTTGGCCATAACATGTTGAAACGTGGTAATATTTCTGAAATACTTTTCACAGCTATATTTTAGCATTGCTATACTATCTGTCATCTCACCAAGAAACCGCTTCGCACAAAACTGTGTCATATATATTATGGCATTGCTTCTCAATGTTTTTGTTGGTATTAATATGTAAATAACATGTAAATATATTTCAACACATTCTGTGAACTGTCGGTACTTGTCCGCGGCCTTCAACATCTTGGAGACAATTTCAACGTGATGTCCTGTTTGGCTTGAAGAATGTTTGGATTCCGAGTAAACGTCAACACATCCTGTGAACAAAGCGGGACATATGCAATTGTAAACTGTATGAGAGTGTGTGCTGCTATCTATGGGAGCATGAATGGTACCTAGAGGCACAAACTGTATATCCTTATTCCAACACAAAGGTGACTGGTATAGTGTTTTTTGTCTCTTTTGTGAAAACGAAAACGGAATTGCATGCTCTCAAAGCTGTGATCTGTATGGTGAACTGGCCCATGTTAAATGTTACGCCAAAGGGAAGTTGTCATACATTTTGTACGATAACCCGGACGTTGTATGGTAACCCAGACGTTGTATGACAACCAAGACGTTTGGATGACAACATGGAAGTGAAGTGATGAATTTCACTTCTGACTCATTTGTGAAAAATGAATTTTGTTTTCTGCATCGTCCAAATGTTAGGGAATATTTTTGCTGTATTTCCTTCAAAACATACCATGTATCTCTTGGAACGAGGAACTAATCATTTGTTTCTGAAACCAGATCCACCTCTCAAATAGTGAACCCCTTATTGGAAGATGATGATACATATGGTGATGACAAATGTTTATAAAAGAATCCTACCGGTGTGCCGGGCATGCGTTCAAACTTCACATTCCTTAGCACATTAACCAAGGCTACTTTAACCTCAACCAGCGCCAGCCGCATCCCAATACAGATCCTGGGGCCAAATCCGAATGCTTGGAAGGAAATAGTTTTGGCTTGTTCTTCATACCTGAAAGACATTTTCTTGACATCACTAAAATATATTTCAGTCCATCATGGTCAGGTTAACGCTGAGAAGACATGTACGCTAATGTTCCCATGGACCCAACTATAGCACAGTGAACTTAGACGACTGAGCCAGCCGTGCCGTGTATAGTAAGTTGAATGAAGACCGACCGTTTAATATTCAGGGCTTGGGTGGTATTTTCCACCAGTATTTTCTTAAATAACCAACAACTAGAATATCAAGAGGTCGACCCGTACCTTTCTGGCTTGAATGAATCAGGATCATTGTAGAGCTGAGGGTTTCTGTGTATAGCCATCACAGGAATAAAGATAGTTTGACCCTTAGAAAGTGTCAGACCCTTGATCTGAATGGTCTCGGAAACAACTCGGTTAAGCCTAAAATAGAGAGACAGTTTTGGAAAGCATGGAGCCTGGTGTGATGTAAAATTTTCTTCACCCGATGCTAACACATTTGAAGTTAATATGTTGTGTGGCACTCTACCAACTGCTTACCAATCAAAGACATAGTATCATATAATCGGTTCAAGATTTTGTTTAATAATATTATAGTTAGTAGCTCTAGCACATGATGCGTGCATCTTTCACTGTGTAACACTACAGGCAAAGGACAACAATACAGCTATATTGTATCATTGATACCTTACAATCCCCCCACATTCTTTTATTGTCCTACAAACATAAAATGTCAAGACCAGAGAGTAACCAGTATGGAGTATCCGACGAGATCTTCACATTCAATAATTTGTAATACTATCCCTTTCAACATACACACATATAATCATCCATTGTATGTTGTTTTTTTATTTGTTGTTATCGCCGTTTTCAGCTATATTCCAGCTTCATGATGGCGATCTGTAAATAATCGAGTCTTGACAATCAAGAGAGTGATATCGTGAGCAACGGTCCGCGCAGTTGGGCTTTGAGGGCTGGTCAAAACGTTCTAAGCTTAAGAATCAAAACCAACAACTGTGAAAGTGTTTTTAATTATTTTTTTCAACATAATCTCCCTGCTTTTCAATACAATTCTCATATCGAAGCTTGTCGTATCCAGTCAGGAAGATGTTTTCTTAAGCCACCCTAAAAAAAACTATTCACGGCAGCTTTGAGGTCATCGTTGGCGAGTAATTAGGGTGAGGAAGCTCTTCGAACCCACATAGTCGCACAGCAGCCTTTGCAAGTAGAGATGTGAGAAGCAGTCAGTATTCCTTGCCGCTTTTCTTTGAGAGAATCTCCCATGCGATGAAGCAAATCAGCATAGTAATCAACAAAGATCACACCCTTTGCAACCTAGAATTCAGTGGCCATAACTTTCTTCACTAATATTTAAGACTTACATTTCTATGCTGCCGGAGAAGCGGAATGGTGCCATTTCATGGATTGAGGTTTTGACACGGGGCCCATGTTTCATGACCCATTACAAATCTCTTTTTTGAATTTGACGAAACCTTAGACCAGCCTTTAGACAAACCTTTAGAACCCTTTGACCAGCAATCGTAAGATGACACACAAGCAACAAAGTCACCAAGCCTGATCCCCCGATCTATTTCGTTGCCTCTAACGACCAGCGTATGTTGCTTAGCCCTTTTCTACCCCGAAATCCCACACTGTAACAAGTCGATCTACATTTTAGTCACCTTATGCTATAAACAAGGCATCTTGCCTTCATATACCAATATTAAAACTTTATTAAACTTACGCAATAGCAGGTGGGTAGAGTCTGAGTGTCTCAGTGATGATGTTGTCCAGATACTTCAGTTTCCCAATGTTGTCGTAGTTTGGTTCCTCCTGGAGACAATAAAATGCAGAATGGTAGTGCGGCGTTGTGGAGAAGACAGCTTATGTCAATTGAGTTGCTTGAGAATAGAGTAGTAGCACAGAAGCATGAAGGAACTGTGAATCAGATCCTATTCGTTGGAACCACAATACGATATAACTAGTTGTAATAAATATGTGTACTTCTATTTTACAATGTATCGCAGTTAATGTTTATATCAGTTTCCCACAGACCACGAGCTATAACGTCAAGAACGAAAACAGTCAACTGACTGAGAAGGTTTTTTCATTTCTAATCGAAAGGCAACTAAAACAATTTGACACTGACATTTCCCAATATTTCTTTGATTTCATTGTACGCCTTCTCCTGTACATCCGGGTACCTGGCCAGGTTGTAGGCTATGAAGGTAAGGGTAGTGCCGGTTGTTTCGTAACCAGCATTGAAGAACAGTATGCACTGAGCCACTATTTCTTCCGTCGATAGATCTGTAAGTGAAAACTAATGTCATTCATTTTCAAAATTGTAGCGTAATTTAGTTATGTTTATGTGTTGGATACAATAACCATGATCACTCCTCTTGTTGTTCTCGCCATATAGAGAGCCAAAGTGAGGAGGGGATACCTGGATTCTCTTTTCACCCCGGTCAGCAGTTTTCAGGTAATAAGGGAATTAAAGTTAGCACCACGCTTTGCTACTTGCAAACTAATACATACCCTGTAACATTAAGTCAAATATAGTGAGAACAAATAACTGTATCAAGTCTTTGAATGACATTAAGAAGTTATACACATAAGGAAGAGAATTTACGGATGTCAACTTCCTTATTATGAGGAACACAACGTTTCGGAGTATATGCCTACTATTTCATCAGACCGATGTCTGTGTTCCTCTTAATAAAGAAGTGGACATCCATAAATTCTCTTCCTCAAATAACTTGTATATGGGCTGATGACCTTTAGCACAATGCACAGAAACCTGACTTGACAGATGTCTCAGCTTGGCAGGACAGTAATTGAATGTATGAGTGTGAAAATCCTCACCGTTTGTCAGACAATGTCAGACAATCAGCCAGGTGACACACGGGGCCTATTTTGCCCTAAACTTCCCACTCACGTCTGACTGAATGTTTGACTGTTTGTCCATTAGCGTTGTTGTTTCCGCCCCCCTCCTCTACCGAAGCGTCCATCATGAGTTGCAGGAAGTCTGTTCTTGGCTACAAATACATTTTTTTTTAAAAGCCCTGATTTTTGCTATTTGTCACACGAAATAGAAAATGCATTACCATTATATTGGCATTGATATGTACATACTGTATGCAGAAATCCCCCATGATTAATATCTAAAATAATCCTTTTACAAGCTACGACAATCTTTGTTATCATGATTACTCTAATGGGAATCCATCCTCGCACAGGTACACCTCACCCCTTATTATACACACGCCACATGCCACACGCCACACACCACACACAACACCTCTTAATGACATGCGCATACAACACACACCTCACTCACACACCTCACCCCCTAATGACACACATATAGACACACCACACATAATGACCTCACACACCACAACAAACGCATCACATACACACGTCACACACGACAGACACACATCACACACAGACAGGCACAAACCACCCGTAATGACACACACATTATACACAGACACATACAATCACAGTGCACATACAGACACACAGCACACACACACACACACCTCATCCCCTAATGACACACCTCACACACACACATATATATACACATACACGCACCGCATACACACGCTGCACACACAGGGATACGCACGCACAAACTATATGAGCCTTTGAATATTGACCGGAATGTGTTGAATATCTGGACCCTCTGTTTATCAACAAATATCACCCTGTGAATATTGACCGGAATGTGTTGAATATCTGGACTCTCTGTTTGTCAACAAATATCACTCTGTGCCGTTTGTCACGTAAGCTTCAATTGAAGTCTTGGTCGTGGTTTTACTTCCGCACACGCACACGCACGCACACGCACACGCACACACACACACACACACACACACACACACACACACACACCAACAACAACAACAACAACATCTAAAAGTAATTGTTGATATGAAACCTCTTGCTGGTGTGTTTTGTCATGCCGCCGCTGGTTCATCATATCTGCGGTGATTGTTTCGAAGAAGGTAATAACTTTTCGTGGAAAGATTCCCAAGTCAAGATTCACGAAGACTTGTTCAAGAACTGGAACGGCATCTACAAACACAAACGATCGTCCATTTGAAACTTTAAATAACAAAACAAATATATGCACTTATGTAAAATGACTGTAGGGGTCATATCATGAAGAGAAGTCACTTTAGCAGGCTTGATAAAGTCAGTTTCTTTCTAACTCACTTGTAATTGCTGCGCATGCTAGTCTCAGTTTTGTTGGTTGGAACAGCATCTTAGCGTGACCGACAAAGGGGTTGTTGAAATCATTTTGAGAATCGACCTTAATTCCAAAAGCAGTTTGTGCAATCACGTCCATTGAGTAAGCTCCAAAGTATCTAAAACGAGATTATTTCAAAATATTAATGTAATCTAAACAATAAGGAGGCGGTCGGGTAGCCTAGTGGTTAAAGCGTTCGCTCGTCACGCCGATGACCCGGGTTCGATTCCCGACGTGGGTACAATGTGTACATTTCTGGTGTCCCCCGACGCGATATTGCTGGAATATTGCTAAAAGTGTCGTAACAACATACTCACTCACTCACTCACTCACTCACTCACTAAACAATAAGGTGGTGTGTTTTTTCTTTCCCAGTTTGTCATTCCAACGCTATATCAAATTTTGACCATTATAGTTTCATAATCGGGACACTCATACAGGTGTTTATGTCTTCGCAGAATTGTATACACCTAAATATTTTAGCACACTTCAAATACAGAAAATGAAAGGTGGAGATTCCGGGTTAGAATTCGTTCCCAGCAACCTATTCCTTTCGTTAGAAGCTTTACGGAACGGGTGCGTGTTTGTGACAATTGATCATCGTGTGTCAATAGTGTGGATCTTTGCTCATTATATCAATCACTGGTTTGTCTGGCTCAGATTCGGTTAATAATGGATCACCTTCATACAGCTGGAATATGTCTGAGTGTGGTGACAAACAACAAACACTACGGGATGTTAATAATCGAGTGGTCAACATCATGAGCTCCGAGCGACGATGGGTATAAGGTGGTATATGCAAACGGTCCTGTTTTATTCAAATCTTATATCTGTAATGTGGTGGTCGGGTTCGTCCTGTCCTTGATCCGCTTGAGGATTCAACACTGGAAATATCTTAAATATTTGCAAACAAATAATAATAATTACTGTGACGTCACAAAATGTTAATGGGGCGGTCGGGTAGCCTAGTGGCTAAAGCGCACGCTCGTCGAGCCGAAGACCCGGGTTCGAATCCCGACATGGGTACAATGTGTGAAGCCCATTTCTGGTGTCCCTCGTCGTGATATTGCTGGAATCTTGCTAAAAGCGGCGTTAAACCAAACTCACTCACTCACAAAATGTTAAATTGTTGACGTCATACTATGTTAGAGTGCTAATAGAGCAAACTATACAGCTCATCTTTAGACTTTTGTATTATATCTATATTCCACACCACGAAGAACTAAAATATTTTCCCAACCTTATGATCTGGATCAAGAATTAAGCAAATCTAATTGAATTCCACATGAATTCCACATGATTCATCCTTGTGCCACCAGAAAGATATTAAGGTAAAGTAAGAACAAAAAACACCTCAATGCAAAGAAAGTACTCACGCTTTCATATTCACACCATCGTTTTTCCCCATGACTTTAGAGAAGTTCCTGGTAAGGGTCCTTGAACAATCGCTGATGGCTACGCACATCTATGTACAGAAGAGAAACCTAATTTCTGCTATACATATTAAGCAGCCATACTGGCTGTCAAAAAATGTACTAATACTCATCCCCAAATGCCTCCTTGGTCTAGTGCGCCTTGGTCTGCACGGGATGGTTGGTGGTTTGATGCCTGGTCGCGTCATACGAAAAGGTGGTATTAGATTGTACTTGTTGCTACCCTACCTGGCAACAAGTATTGACCAGCTCGGAGCCATTAATATGTCTGAGTGAAGTATCTATGTTCACCTACGGCATGGCATCATCAAACCAGCATACATCCGCACTTGTACAAGCAGCCACAAACACGCGTGCATGCACGTGGCTGTGTAAGTGAAATAATTGCGACGATAAACCACATTTTACGTCATCTCACCAAATGTCACATATAAAGTTCGAAGACCAAAGGTTTGATTGTATACACTATGGTTGTTCCTTGATATAAGTTTTTTAGTGTGTGTTTTGTTTGTTTTTTCAAAATGATTATGAATTTATGAAATTGAAATACACTCACTCACTCCTCACTACAGAAACGATGAGCGCACTCACCCGCCTCAGTTTGACGCCAGTGAAGGTGGGGGTCATGGTATTTCTCACTCTCTTCCAGGCATCATCCTCCAATACGAACAACGCTAAACTTAACGGGTAGGGCAATGGAATGTTCTGAAAACAGAACAGGACAGAAACAGCTGAACAGACAGAACGCGGCGATAAACATAAAAAAGGTGATTTGTGTGTGTGTGTGTGTGTGTGTGTGTGTGTGTGATCACACTAGCTACACAATCCTTGCTGTCGAACCCAAAGGCCATTTATAGTGGTTAATAGCAATTGCCATGGTCCCTTGACAATTTCGGGTTAGAAATACTCTTCAGGAACCCATGTTTGTCGTGTGAGGAACTAACGGGATCGGGTGGTCAGGCTCTCGGACATGGTTATGGATTTCATAGTATCCCAGTTGCGCAAATCGATGGTCATGTTGTTAATCGCTACTCACGACTCGATTATTTACAGGCATAGAACTGGGATGTTGCTGAGTGAGACATTAAACAATGAACAGAAAATAAACAAAGCACTTGCCATGACCATCAACTAAGTTCTTGCCTTAAGCCCCATTCACATGGACACTTTTACTTACGTGAGTATATATACTTACATAAGTAAATTTACTTATGGTGGCATGTAAACGCATTTGCTTACGTGAGTAAATATACTCCAGGAGTAAAGAGACATGAGCAAAAGTATATTTGCTACACCTGATGAGGTCTAGTAAAAGTATATTTACTCATAAGTATAAATGCTCGTGGAGTATTTCTGGTCATGTGAACAGATTCTTTATTTGCTTACTTAAGCATATTTAATCCAAGATACTGATAATCAGGAAAATACGGCTGTAGTTCCTTGCAAAGAACATAACATGTTCATAAAATGTTTCGCGTGTCATGCGAAAGTTATCGATCCACAGTTCATAATCAAATGATCGTTTGACGACATTGTTCCACCAGTGTTGAGAACGTTCTCTCTTCCACAGTTCTCTTTCCTGGCATAATCCTAAGACTAATCCCATACTAAGAAAGTATGGAAAGTCTCTCTTTCGCCTCTGGTTGACTATCTTCAACAGCGACATGGCCTCAAGTGATAAAAAGCTACAATTTATTTATGAAAGGATGTTTACTTCTGCCTTGCATAAACTTCATTTGAACGCAATGTAAATATACTTTTGCTTACATGAGTAAATATACTCCATGATTAAATTTGCTTACATGAGTAAATTTTGTCCATGTGAATGGGGCTTTAGTTATTCATGGTAATGACAACAGTTTATACGTTCTGATATGTTCAGTGTTAAGTTAATGTTATCAGATCAGTGACACCATTGCTTTCCATGGAGCTTCAACATAACTAATTCAACAACACATTGCTCACCATCCGGTTTCTAAAATTGTCAAAATGCTTGACGAGAACCTCTTTCAGAATTTCAAGGTCGGTGATAACCAAGGCGGGTTTTCTTCCCACGAAGATCCTACAGAACAGAGACATCAAACACAATTAGATAAAAAAACATAAGCCATGTGATATCACTAAAATGTGAATTCAAACAATATATTTTACAAAAATGTTGGCATGTACTTGCTCTGGTTACATACTAAGAATAACGCCACAACGAAAACTGTTTCCAACAAAGTCCATTACAGTAGTACATTTTTTAAATGCCAGTAAACTTCTTTTATCCATTAGCATTTTCAGATTTCACTTCATATCCGTCATAATCGTATATTTATCATCCAAAACTGGCTCCCATAGGAGATATTGTTTGGATGAGATCAAGCTGAATGTAGAATTCGCTGCCATGAAATTGCATCACAATGCTTTGCAGACCATTACTAATGGCTCTGCTACCGAAACTGTTAGCAGTACTTTTTTACACTTAAGACACTGCTTATTATTGTCTACAAAGTGAAAAGGTTGGAAGAATGCTGTTCGATGATAAATAAAACCGTGGCAAGCCTCGGAGATTTTCCACTTTACTCAAATCGTGATGATATGTTTGATATCAAAAGACACGAAGATGAGATTCTCTATATATCCTTTAGGTATTGGTAACACCCGTGAAGAACCGGGCTAGCATTGTTCTTCAGCAACCCAGTTTTGTAGTAAGAAGCGAATAACGAGAAAGGGTGATCAGGTTCGTTGATTCGGTGGATGCATATCATCGCATCCCAATAGCTAGATCGATGTTCATGATCCGAATCACTAGACTGCCTGGTCCAGATTCAATTATTTTCAGAATGCCATGATATTGCTGGAATATTGCTGAGGACAGCGTTTAACAACAAACAAACAAAAGTATTGGTAACTATTACCAACGTTGCATGTATGCTATATACTTATATTTGAACATACCCATATATACTTCCATATTGCTGGCTCCAGGCGTATAAATCATGCATGAAACCCTGTAAAAATGAAGCTAATAAAAATTGCTGCAATATTAAATTAAGTCACTATCTTGACATTATAATGATTTTCCTTTACACAAATATCATTTACCTCATCTACTACATCAAGGTTAAAATGATCGATATAAAAGAAACACATGGTATAAGTAAAAAATAGGGAATTACATCGAACATGTTTTGGTTAATGATTAATGTGGAAATATCCTCAAAATGTCTATCATAAAACATTTTAAAAGCTTTACGGAGGCCTTGAATGTTGTAACCCTGATGATACAACTTTTAGGAAAGAGCCGAATGCCGCTAAAAAGAGCATGCTAGACTGTAGACACGTATGGCTCAAACTGCTGGAATATTGTCCGACACAAAAGGAAAGACATCAACACTATTTTCAAACCCTGAATATAGAAGTTCCACTCTCTCTGGTATAACAACGGAGACTTCCGGGATAAGTGGTTTAAATAAGTATCATGGAACCTACAGCGTCAGTGCTGTTCCCAACAAAAGGGTATGGTGCTGGCCCTGGAATACCCCGCTTCTTGAAGTAATTGTGGTTCCATGTTCCAAATCTGTAAAACACAATATAACAATTAGCACAGGGTTGATGCAGATACAAAGTTTAAGGACCTGATTTCTTTGGTACTGTGTGGCACTACTGGTATACACACTGATGAATCTGTAATCCGCGAAGTGTCACCCAAGGGAAGGTTAGAGCTTAACATTATCTGACACAATATATTTTTTTCGATATAATTCCAGGCCCACGCTGCCGAATATGAAATGGTCGCGAAACTTAAAAGGAATATTACACTGTCAACTCGAAGTCCTAGGGAACATCGATAATATATCGAGTTATCCATTGTTTGAGACAAGGGGAGAGGCTATTTTGACAAACAAGTATTCTGTCGGCACCATGCCATCTAATTGTCTTACACAATGTATCGAGTAAAAGAAGGTCGAGTTAGGGAAATTTCACAGCATTTGACAGTTGCTAGACTGTCATCCATGAAGAGAGTTCAAGCCACTTTGAGGAACATTCCAGCCCCATCACGAGAGGCCAGGTCTCTAATACACGCTGATCCGGATGAGTCAACGGCTCTCGCGAAATTAATAGACGGCGTAGCGTCAAATAGACGAAATACGGTAGATCGATATCGGATGTTTTTGGTGTTCTAGGCCGCAACCCTGATGATGATGACATTAAAAGATTTAACGGCATATCTTTTGCATACATATGAAATGTTTATGAAACAGATAGGGAAATGTTCTATGGTGACCAGAATCGGAACAATTAAAGCTATTTCCTCATTGAAACAACCGACAATGAAAGTGAAATATAACTTTATAAAAAAAATTGTTTGAAAACCTTCATTCATGACATGTTTCTTTGATAGGCATTTAGAAGTTGGAGTACTAAGTAAGGCTAAGAATTTATGGATGAACAACTTCTTTATTACAATTTAGAGCGACGTTTCAGTGTAGGTTCTAACACCATTATCAAGCAAGTGATATACAGAGTGTGGTTGGCAAGTATATATACAAGTAGGAGGTAATGTTTAGATATTGTTATACTGGAGTGGAGAAGCCTGTCATGTATACACAATGGTCGTGATGACAATCATCGGTGAAGTCAGTGACATAAACAAAGGATGAAGCCAGTTATATAAACAACGGGATTATGGCTGATTGGGGTCTTTGATGAGTTGATGGTACGCCGGGGGGAAGGTAATAGCCTTGGTCACGGTTGATTGACGGCTGGAATCTTTTGATGTTGACTGGCAGTTGATCAGTCAAACGGTTCAACAGGAAAGATGGTGACAACATCATCAAAACTAACGCGTACCTTTTTACGTTCAAACTCGCAAAGCTTTCATCGTCAATAAAAGCCGGATATTTCAACATCGGAGTGGATGTGTATATACCAAATCCATTCTGTTGTTTTAAATGTCAACAATTTGGATATGGAGCTAGATCCTGTCATCACACCCAAGGTTGCTACCGCTGTGGTGAGACTCATGATAGCACTGACTGCACAAATACCATCAAATGTGCAAACTGCAGGGGTGATCACATGTCCACTTCAAAATCATGTCCATCTTTTGTAACACAAACCAAAATTCTGAAAATAAAGTACACCAATGATATTTCATTTAGAGACGCAAAGAAATTGGTAACAAGTGAATCAACAACTTCCACCTCTTCTCTGACTTATTCTGCTGCATTCTCCTCTTCTCCTACCAAAGCTGATAATGGTTGTCAAACAGCTGGGTGTTGAATCTTCAGAAAATATTGTATCAAATTGATAGGGATGACACCAGCACTTCATTTTCATCAGCTTCCCAAACTGAACCGCTGCCAGAAACTGTAACCTTGCCCGAACCTGCCATTCCACCGGACACTGTACCTGACTTGAGAACAAATAGACCGCTTTCGAAAAGTGAAAAAAAACAACGTGAAAAAGAAGCAAGGGCCCTTAAACATGTTGAGGAGTCTTTGCCATTGAATGTTCCTCTGGAGGTTCATAACCCTTTTGAACCTCTGGATATGGAGGTTACTCCATCGCTGCCGTTACAGCGTAGAGGACCTTCCCCCGGCTCACGATCTCCAACTGAGCCTCCATGATTTGCTCTCCCAATTTAATCCAATGGAATTGAGGACTTCGGAACAATTTTAACGACCTTCAGCTATTAATTCAAGATTTCAAACCATCAGCATTTAGTCTTCAAGAAACCTCCCTCAAAACCACAGATAATTTTGATTTACGACAGTATGATTCTTACCATTGCTTTTCCCCTCCAGGTGATAAAGCAACTGGAGGATCCTCTGTTATGGTGAGGCAGGGCGTCATTCACAATCCTGTTCCTCACAATACCCCTCTCCAGGCTGTTGCAGTACCGATAACGTTAAATATTGTTTTTACTTTGTGTTCGTTTTATGTACAACCATTGTACCTTTTCTGACAGTCTGATCTTCAGGCACTATATGACCAACTCCCTAAGCCCTGTGTTATCATGGGAGATTTGAATGGCCATAACCTGCTTTGGGGTAGTGCTGACCGCAATTACTTGATGATTTTTTCTGAAATAACGATTTGTGCATTTTTAATGATGGTTATCACACATATTTACATCCTGCAACTGGAACATACTCTTGTCTGGACATGCCAGTTATAGATTCTAATTTACTTAATGAATTTGAGTGGTCAGTCCACGATGACCTCTGTGGAAGTGATTATTTTCATACCATTTTATAATCTGTTACACCTTCTGATGTTCCTCTATCTTCACGTTAGAATTTTACTAAATTTTGTTCTAAAAAACAAAAACATGAAGTTTTTATTGATGTTCCCGACTCTATACAAATGTTCTCTGGTGAACTTAATCAAATAGCTGATGAATGTATTCCGAAGTCCTCCTCAAATCCTCACATACATAAAGCATGGTTCAACAATGATTGCAAACAAGCTAGGAAGGCATGGAAAAAAGTTGAACAATATTTCCGACACCATCCAATGGTCCATAATCTCAATAAAGTTAAAATTGTAAATGCTAAAACCCGGCGCACTTTCAAACAAAACAATCGTCAATCTTGACAAAATTAAGTATCCAAGATAAATTCGCTAAATCAAGCATCCACCATCTCAAAGATGGGGATCAATTATAAACTGATACATCAGATATTGCAAATAAACTTTGTGAAACTCTAGCTCAACATTCTTCCTCGACTAATTATGTCCCTCAATTTCAAAAATACAAAAAGCTGCAGGAAAAGAAACCTTTACATTTTAATTCAGATAACGTGAAGATTACAATGTAGTCTTTTCCATTCATGAGCTCCATACTGCACTTGGGCAGGCTCATGACACTGCTGCAGGTCTGATAATATACATTATCAGCTCTTGAAATATTTACCGCAATCCTGTTTGGAAACCCTTTTGATAATATTTGATAAAATCTGGACGTCAGGAGAATTACCTTCTTCATGATGTGAAGCTATTGTTGTTCCCATGCCTAAGCCTGGACGTGATCACACTGATCCTTCCAATTATCGACCCATTTCATTGACTAGCTGCGCTTGCAAAATCATGAACGCATGGTCAATAATAGATTAACTTGGTACTTAGAATTCAATAACTTAATCACAAATATTCAATGTGGATTTCGTAAAAGTCGCAGTACCATTGACCATTTAGGTCGATTGGAATCATTCGTTAAGGATGCCATAATAAACAAACAACATGCAGTGTCTAGCTTCTTCGATCTAGAAAATCTACAGGTTAATGTAGAACCACACCACAGACCCGGGTTATCATCTTGAATCATTTAACTAGTTACGGAGAATGTTAACACAAGATTGTCAGCCATGCCACTCACAGCTGTGAGGTGTGAGTAACAACATTTATTTAGATAGTATTATTGTTTACTAGGGGTAATTGCTAACTAACTAATAACACTTACACATGTTAAATGTATAATAGAATGTTTATTCATAAAGTTTGTTGTGGAAATATGTTTGTTTAGCATTTTAAGACCTTTTTGTTCAGCCTGACACCCCTACGACAGAAATGGCATGTTCGATTTCCAAGAAATGACCTCTCTCGCATAATTCCAAGAAAAGACATCGCCAGTCCAAACAGTGCAGAACGGGGTGGTAAAAACAAACATCTGTCTTTGGACTAAGTTTGGAGTGTTTTTTGTCAACTTCTTTTTGAAAAACTCTGTGTTTGAACACTTATTTGGAACTAATTAAGACTATGGTGTTTATAATCTTGAACTTTAGTAATAATTGTTACATATATTACTACCTGTGACTACTTTTAGGAATGTTCTAAGATTGTCGACCTGTGGACCTGTGTTGTTACATGTTGCAAGAAAGTAACGTTTTCAAACCGTTGTCGTTGGTAGAATGGAAATAAACCTACTGTGTTTTGAAAAAGAGCTCGGTTCCAAATTAAAAGAAAGATTTATCTACTCTACAGTGGGGCTACATCAAATTTCAAAACACAGGGGGTTCATCTCCTGAATACCCCTTATTAGTAATCTAGTCAGGTAATCTAGTCATGTATTTTGCATGCTTTTACAAAATGGATTCATTTTAGAAAACATTTGGTTATGAAAATTACTTTATCACAAGAAAATAAATGTTTAGCTTAATATATACTTTATACAATATATACATGTGTACTATGCAACCTCCCAGGTGTGCTATTGCAATGAGATTAGTGTTTCACAAAACGCGTTATACATGTATGTAAAATGTCCAAAAGAGCTCATGATCACCGCAAACTCCAGAAGAGGTGTCGATCACTGCAAGTTACAGGAAGAGGCCCATCACAGATAATTGGACTGGGGTTCATCGTACCACTGTGGCGTGGCTCGTTGTTAATAATATCAACAACTGGCTTGTCTGGTCTGGACTCCGAATATTTACAGGCTCCGTTATGTATAGCTGAGTGCAGTGTTAAAGCCCCACCCTGACTATACATAGCTCGCAAGGTGGCGGTGTTTCAGTTTCGAACAATGACTGACAATGTAAGCATAACCGAGTGTCGGGAGAAGTTTTTTAAAAAAACATACGGGAACCAGATCATATTGACCTGTCGGATCACTCGTATAAGCTCCGCCCACTAGAGTGCGGTAGTTACTACCGCAGATGCCCCATTAAACAACAAACACGAAGGGCTTTTGGCAATCGCTTGGTCAACAGGGAGTGAGTGAGTGGAGTTTTAAGCCGCCCTTATAATCGTGAGGAATCGACGGGGAGCCAAGTTGAATACTATTACCACTAGGTTTCGCAACTGCGCTCCACAGAACCTGCACGTACCTTTCTGTTTGTCAACTAAAGGACTCTTCTTTTATAACAAAACAGTGAATTGGGTTTTAGGATTGCAAAAAGAGTTTCTACTTACATATAGGTGAGCACAACCGCCGTCACGGCCAGAAGGACATACAACGGGACGTCCACCAGCCCCAAGATCTCCATGTTGATGTGACGAGTAAAGGAGCGAAATGCGCCTAACACATCCAGGGACGTGTGTCCTATTTACTGTGTAAGCAAGATCAGTGTAGGCAGTTATATAACCGGGAGAGCGGCGGGCTTCCACTGGTATAGAGCTTTGCATTATTCTCGATTTGGCCGAACGTGGGTCTTTATTTTCGTGTTCCCTACAGTGTGAACGATCACTGCAATTGTATATGGGTTTATCACACAGAACATTCAGTAGATGTACACGCATCGTACCAATTGACAAACATCTCTCTGTTTATGAAGTGACATTGCAAGTTTAAGAAATTTCGCAATGTTTACTTTTGTAAATAAGTCATGCTTTTATATCGAAAATAGACTATACCTTGTGCAGAGATGTCTTATCAATATGGAAAGTTTTTTGTTGCTTTTATTTACCTTTGGTAAGTATACAGCTTATACAGCACATATTAGATCTGCGGGGGGAGTCGGGTAGCCTAGTGGTTAAAGCGTTCGCTCGTCACGCTGAAGAACCGGGTTCGATTCCCGACATGGGTACAATATGTAAAGCCAATTTCTGGTGTCCCCCGCCGTGATGTTGCTGGAATATTGCTAAAAGCGGCGTAAAAGCATACTCACTCACTCACTCGCTCATTAGATCTGCAAACATTGTGCACATATATAAAACCGAAAATATATAATAATATAAGATATCTTCGCGATAAATCGCAAAGAACAAAGTGGAACAAAGCATGGTTTATTTCACGATAAAACATTGTTCAATCTTCACGTCATTTCTGGAGATTCGAACATGCACTCGCAACTTGATGACGTCGTAATTTGGACGACGTTAAATTTGAGAGGGAATTGTTATCCACAGATGTAGCTGGGCTACGCAAATGAACGCAATTGCAACACGATCGTATTCAAAAGTTGGAGAGATATGACAATCTGAGAAGAGGTGCAAATGTAAAAATTGTGAGAATATCCGAGAAATATCAAACGTTACTCTGTTCATAAACTTAGACTTAATAAGGGAATTAATTCTCCCTAATCTTTGTACATTAACTATCACGTTGTGAACCTCAGTAGAATCAGGGCCAACCGTGCGAAAAGGTCAGCCTGGATGAGTGAGTGAGTTGGGCTTATCGCTTCTTTTAACAGTATTCCAGTTACATCACGGCGTGTCAGCTTAATGTGGGAGGAAAGCCCAAAGTGATGCAGGTCTCAGACGTTTACCACTTCGGTGAAACCCACGGGCACGGGTATCGTGCTGACAAACCTAGAAACATAATCGGGGCGAACCGGGATTCGACCCACAATCATAGGTTTCTGATGTGCCCAATGGGTGCAACTCGATCTGCACAGCGAATGAATGTGTGGATGTTATGGAATTGTTTGCACCTTACATTTATTAACCCAGTCTACAATGTTTCTTACATCAAACCATATTGTATATTGCATCTTCTATCAAGCACGGATCTCTTTCACATAAGGTGTTTGCCATTCTTGGACATCTAACCTTGACACACATAACATCTAACATCATCATTTCAATCCATGTTATTGCAATTTGTCAGCAAATGGCAATACATACATTCTCCTATCATTATAAGTGGTGGCAACATCACTCGAGGTACATGAGATTTTATGCGTCCCTCGTTAGCTATTATACCACGAGACGGAGGCTAACGAGGGACGCATAAAATCTCATGTACCCCGAGTGATACTGCAACAACAAAATTATTTAACAGACACGTTTTAATCTACCATTGTAAATAAATTAAAACAAATTCAAAATTGATGGGAAAAAGCTGTTCAGTTGAGCTGAGGTGAACTTGTGGTGTGTCACGTGACTTTCAAGAATGCATTTACTCAGATTATGGAAAACTGTACGCCTGGAGTTTCAGCAAGGATTCGGGTGCCTCCTGGAATTGATTTTGCTGCACTTAGCCTCTTGATTGGAACGTCAATACCAGCGTCAAACACGTTTTCTGTGCATGGTTACACCCCTTAAATGTATCAGGATCTTCTGATCATTGACCATCGATTATGACCATGCGGTGGTCTGCCAAAGGTCGTGCTCTTAACGTTACCAGAGGGGTAAACCGAGTACCATCAATATTTGATGGTGATTCCTAAACACATGCTTATTGTCGCTTTTATTTTATCAAAGAGAGACGTTGATCTGGGATGGCATCACTAAAATAAAATATCCGTTTCTATCAAATTACATGCACATAAGCAAGCAATATCTGACAAGTGATGGATATGTGAAAGTCACTTCCCCAAAACAAAGGTATGTTTGTGAATGAGTCCAGAGCACTGCTCATCACAGGATAGAGATATAATTCGATCTCTGGGTTATGGATGCATCGAACTGAGTGGTGCATTGAACAACATATGAAAGAACAAAGATATTTGTGAGGTCAGCAGTCACCTCTATTGGTGGATTGGGCTGTTTCTGTTTTCACAAGTAATGCAAATACCTTTCCAGTTTCTTTTACTTATCCTTCTTTTCTGATCTTTTCGGATAATATTCCAATAACTCCGGTGAGCTCGAGGGCCTTGTGGCTCTATCTTTGCAACATGACAGACAACAATAAAGTACACAAAGCACAACTGGTTTAATAATAAAAGCAAATAAATCATTACATTGGTACATATATCAGTTTTCACATGTGTAGCATCACAACATTTTGGAAATATAAAAAAGAGCTCTGTTGAAAATAAAACTGGTTAAACAAGACAAATTTATCAAACAATCCGAACATAAGTATTTGAGACCTCTCCCATGTTTGTTGACAACTCATCAACCTTCATTAACTTTACGTGATTAGTGATCTTTATCAAATGACAAGAAAGTCTGTTAACTTCACAATCAGTTTCTCCCAATACAACCTCACTGTACATAATGGTAAATATAAAACATGCATTCATACTGGAATTCAACACTTAGAGAAATCGGACAATATCAATGATCATTACAAAATCTCATCTACAATGTACAAGTTGTGAAAAAACACATTCTCTCTGAACATGTTTGTCTTGAATAATAATCATCTAGATATGGATGTACATGATTCATAATGACAAGAAAAATGAATTACTTAAAACAGTTCACTAAATATTGAACTACATAGTAATTCTTATTAAGAGGGGTTTTTTTCTAATTGACTGATACATGTACTATATTGCTTCTAAGTTAACAGATAAGGAAATTAAATCAGTTGTTAACATGTCCATAGTATATGGCCAAAAATACATTTCAGAATTAGATTAATTACTATAATACAATAGTTTGTTCTTGCCACAATGACACAAATATTTTGTGATTTGAAATGGAAAAATGAATAAAATAACAGTTTTGTCATAATAAACATATTGGGGCTTCTAAAGACTGACAACTTCCCTCACACAGTTTCAGACTGCCCATCACATATATGATAATGATGTTTGCACTTACAAAAAAAGCATGGATTATTTGTGTTCAGTGCCTGAGAACCCATGACCGTATGTAGGAATTATCATCCATAACATCAAGGGCATCAAACAGATGTCCTCATTCAACAAACAATGGATATACTTAACTGTGAGATTAAGAAAGTTAAGACAGCAGATAAATGAATCATGAATCAAGACTAAATTCACTTTTGGTGTAGTGATGTGAACAGGTGAGGTGAGGTGAAATGGGTTTAACGTCGCGTCCAAGATTATTGCACTTATATAGCGACGTGCATGCACGTGTATGTGTGTGTGTGTGGCTGCTTGTACTAGTCCGGACTGATGCCGATTTATAGTGCTAGCACACTGAGATACCATGCCGCAGTTTAACATGAATACCCCACTCAGACACAGTATACTGACTCCGAGCTGACCAGTCCTTGTTTTAGCCCCTTAATGCCGAGCGCCAGACAGGGTAACAACAAGTACCATCTTTTAACGTCTTTTAGTATGATGCGGCTGGGGATCAAACCCCAGACCTTCTGATCTCCGGGCGGACGCTCTACCATTAGACCACGGAGGCGGTCTTGATGTGAACAGAACAACACAGTTTGATATGCACATAATATGAAACTAGATCTCGATTTACAGTTAAAGTTAACATCTTTAAGTATATATCTTATATACTATGGGTAACTTGACAAATATATACAGTAATGCTCAGACACTTAAAGGCACAAGTGACTGGATATTCATATGATCAATGTTGCAATTATAATTTTCACATACATAACATGCAAACTAATTCTGTAAGTACAACATACATGTATATTTATACAGTTATCCCTCGCTACAATGCTACTTTCAGGGTCAAAATAATTGATGAGCGTTACAGCGGTTTAACAGAGGTGGAGTCTTAGGTGGTAGATGACCAACAAAACAGTATACATGCTCCGCCTACTAAACGCGATCTACGTATAAAATTAGAAGCTGACACTAAGACACTAAAAATGTTCAAGAGTTATATACAATAATTCATGGCTTTTAGAATTGATTTTTCTGAGAAAGTCAGTCAAGTCATTTAAGCAAATATTGTTAAAGCCACAGATCTAAGTAAAAGCAATGATTAAAAGAAAATTACTTTTTTTGTTCATTAAACACTGAAACTAAAAAGTTATTTTGAAAGAGTAGGTGAAACATGGTACACTGTAGCAATGATATTGACTACTATTTACAGTGTGTGATTGTATGACAAGTGATGCATATCACACTATAGCACAGATATTGGTTGCTATTCTTTACAGCCTTACTATATGACAAGTGTTACACTGTATATTACATTGTAGCACAGATAGTGACTGCTGTTTACAGTGTGTGACTATATGACAAGGGATGCATATTACACTGTTGCACAGATAGTGACAGCTGTTTACAGTGTGTGACTATATGACAAGGGATGGATATTACACTGTAGCTAATACATATATAGTGATGACTATTTACAGTGTGTGATTGTATGACAAGTGATGCATATCACACTATAGCACAGATATTGGTTACTATTCTTTACAGCCTTACTATATGACAAGTGTTACACTGTATATTACATTGTAGCACAGATAGTGACTGCTGTTTACAGTGTGTGACTATATGACAAGGGATGCATATTACACTGTTGCACAGATAGTGACAGCTGTTTACAGTGTGTGACTATATGACAAGGGATGGATATTACACTGTAGCTAATACATATATAGTGATGACTATTTACAGTGTGTGATTGTATGACAAGTGATGCATATCACACTATAGCACAGATATTGGTTACTATTCTTTACAGCCTTACTATATGACAAGTGATACACTGTATATTACACTGTAGCACAGATAGTAACTGCTGTTTACAGTGTGTGACTATATGACAAGTGATGCATATTACACTGTTGCACAGATAGTGACAGCTGTTTACAGTGTGTGTCTATATGACAAGTGATGCATATTACACAGTAGCACTGATAGTGACTGCTATTTACAGTGTGTGTCTATATGACAAGTGATGCATATTACACCGTAGCACAGATAGTGACAGCTGTTTACAGTGTGTGTCTATATGACAAGTGATGCATATTACACAGTAGCACTGATAGTGACTGCTATTTACAGTGTGTGTCTATATGACAAGTGATGCATATTACACAGTAGCACTGATAGTGACTGCTATTTACAGTTTATGACTATATGACAAGTGATGCATATTACATAGTAGCACTGATAGTGACTGCTATTTACAATGTGTGACTATATGACAAGTGATGCATATTACACAGTAGCACAGATAGTGATGGCTATTTACAATGTGTGACTATAAGAGAAGTGAGGCATATTACCGGTACATGGTAATTTATATAATTTATACATACACTTTGGACGCTGTCATGATGGTTACGAGCTCTGTTTGTAACATTGCTAGTGGTTGTAGATGATTTTGGTGAATTTCCTTGTTGATAAGAAGTTATAACAATGGGGGCCAAGATACTTCATGATTGATATTTATGAACAGATTTAAAAGCACATATGGCACATTAAAACATTATCCAAAAGAGGGTTAGTCACAAATTATTTACCTCTCGTTCATGGCACAGTCAAACAATTAAAATATGTCAGTCATAAAGAATTCTTCAATATTTATTAAAGAAATGATATTTCTAAATGATAAATGTACATATCAATATCAAACCTCAATTTCATAAACAACTACAGTGCATAACTGTGTAGATAAAGGGAACAGAGACACTTTACACAATCATACAGATATAAGCTTCCTAATGGTTCTACAGATGAGTGTTAGATAATTCTTTACATACCACCTACGTACAGATGAAACCATATCCTGGTACATGGATACTATGGGCAGAAACACATCAACATACATACAGCATTCTTAAGTGCTCTTATATAAAAGAAAGTAACAACAATCATTTGTACTTCCTAAAACTGGAAATTTGATTAAAATTTATTTTTAATATTATATAAAGAATGTTTTAATACAAATATTCGGAATTATTGCAACACATTCTAAGTGTACTATTAAGACACTACTTGTTCACCAGATATGTACAGTTTATGTACATGAACAACTCCACAGTTCTAAACCCCTTATGATGATCATTGTAAAGATGTTTGTTTGTACAAAGTGGTTTGATAAAATGAAACATAGAGTTAAAGCAACAGTGATGCTGTGATTAGCTAAGAAACTGATTATGACACAAAGCAGTAATCATTCTCTAAACACTGGAATCCAGAATTGTGAATCACTAACTCACTAAGCCAATTAAGACGATGTGAACACTGTAATACAACAAAATAATCTGCAAGGATTCATTTCAAAACTGTACAAAATATACCATTCAACATCCAACTACTGGACACACTAGTTGTATCTACTGTGATCCTAAGTGAGGTCTACTTCAACAGCAAATTCTGCTACATACAATATCCATTCTCTTACTTTCTTCAGGCTTAAAACAAATGCCTAAATAGCATAACAAAACAAATCAATAGATTTTGCACTTTCTGAGAAAATCCACAGATTTCCCGCTTCTGGATTGCCTTTTACGTCTAGCTGCAAATCCAATAGCTTTCTCAAACTGTACTTTAAACACGTACAGGAGATATGATCTCAACAAACATGGGACTGGTCCCTAGGAGCATACATGATTATTTAAAAAAAATCAATCAAAAACAAAAAATGTTTCAAGAATGATAACACAGTTAAACTTATTCAACCACTCCTATCTCTATTTATGCAGAACAACTGTATAACATGAATGTTGCTGATGGTCTGTTTGATGCATTGATAGTTAGTCTATCACACTTGTCACAACCTTGTCAAAAACAACAGCAACTTAAAATGCTAATATATAAAATAGTTTCATTCAAACACTGCTGCTATATCTTATTGACACAAAATGTAAATTAGAGAAATAGCAGTTGACCATGACAATCATATAGGTACCACACACACAGCACTTACTGTAGATCATATGGTATACTTACGTAGATAACTTCAGTAAGCTGATAGTAAGTTTCATAAATTGCTAGATATGTTAGATAAAAGGTAAATGTTTCAAAACATAACCAACTATTACATATTCCCATGATGCAACTGATGAGCTGTAACAACAGAAAAAAAACATATTGAAAAGAGATAAAACATTGTTGACAAAAATAGCTAAAATAGTGATACACCTCTGAAGCTAAAGCATAAGAATAAATACTGGCAAAATATATACTTTATAAATAACTGAAAATTCACTATTTTAAATCAAATTCAATGTATGTAAGTATATGTTTGGAATCCATGTAAAATTCTGCAAACAACCAATCATGGAAATAAGTTGCAAAATGTTACCAAATATACTCAGCATCATAATTGAGGGGTCATGAAGATAATAAGAGATATAATGCCCCATTTTTAACTTGTTGGCATATGTTCATGTTTGACACCCTACATACTTAGGTGACCCTTCAATAATGATGCCGAGTAAATGTCAATACATGCGTACTGTTCAGTACACTGATTGCATAAATGTATGTATGATAAAGGTCTGATATCAATCCTTTAGCTCCTTACAGTTTATCAATCCACTATTTACAAAGCTACAATACCACACATTCTAATATACTCTAAATTAGGTTAACTTAGATGTATATTTATGGGTTACATAATCAGTTTAGAGTTACGTTAACAACTAAGTAGTCTACAACTAGTCAAGAAACACATTAACCATAACAGCTTTGCATATATATGCTGAAAACATGTATCATAAAAAACACAAAATAACTGTTTATTTATTACAAAACTTCATGATTTTTCAAAGAACATACAAAAACTAATCATAAAATGCATACACTCCACAGTAAACAACTGATAAATTAAAAAGAAGCATGTAAAAAAATAACAACTTACCACCATCAACATCAGCTAAAAAATACATGATTCTGTACAGATTCAGACTTGAAGTACAATACATGTACAGCTGTATAATCTGTTGACACTGGGATCATAGTTGCACCACCTACACAAGAGAACATGAACAGGCTGATGCAGGCATCAGATTGAAGTACAGCACATGTACAACTGTATAATCTATTGACTCTGGGATCAGAGTTGCACCACCTACACAAGAGAACATGTACAGGCTGATGCAGGCATCAGGTTGAAGTACAGCACATGTACAACTGTATAATCTATTGACTCTGGGATCAGAGCTGCACCACCTTCATCTCCTTCCTGCGCTGGTTGATCTCCTGGAGCAGCACCAGCCAAGTGTCAGGGATGTGCATGCCCTTGATGCTAGGTGGGAGTGAGGCAATGTCTTCCTCTGTCAGGGTCTGATCAGTGCTGCTTGATCTGCTTCCTGCACCTTCATCACTGTACAGTGAACGATCAAGGTGACCTTGCAGTAAGGCTTTCAGGCTGAAATAGAATCATTGTCAACAATCAGCTCAATTAAATCAGATATATAATCAAGAATGCGAAAGCTATACACAATTGACAAAAGTAAAAAACACAGCTAGTTGGACTTTCTAGCATAAATATCTGTTTTGCCTTTCAAGTAGGAACCCATTTTTTTATGTTGCAAATATCATGCAAAGAAAATATAAGAAAATATAAATCAGTATGCCATGTTTCTTAATGTAACCTCATAATAGCTTGGGTGGTGGGGTAGCCTAGTGGTTAAAATGTTTGCTTGTCATGCAGAAGACCTGGGTTCTATTCTCCACATGGGTACAATGTGTGAAGCCCATTTCTGGTGTCCCCCGCCGTGATATTGCTTGAATATTGCTAAGAGCAGCATAAAACAATACTCACTCACTTACTCACTCACTCACTCCTAATAATTTAAGAGATGTGTCTTATGAGTGTTTTGGATTTTAATTTCACCTTTGTTATTGCAAACACCTGGTGTCATAACTGATTTTCCATTAATCCATTTACATAGATATTTTGCCTTTTATGTCCAAAGGAATCTGCTTAGGCGGATAATCAAGACTGGTTATTCTCTGGTGATGTTTTATATTCCCTTGCATCCATAGAGGTTATCTTGCGAGTGTGTTTGGGGATGGTAAATATCCTGCATTAGGAATAAACATTGTATTTAGCGAGCCTTGGCGAGCTAAATACATAGTGTTTATTCCTAATACAGGATATATACTATGCAGGATACAGGATATTTACTCGCCAAGGCTCGCTAAATACAATGTTTATTCCTATTGCAGGATATTTACCATCCCCAAACACACAAGTGTGATAACCTCTTTATCATATAATGTCATTCTTTAATTCTGTGCTTCAAAATCGCTTTCCCTCTCTCACAAACATTACCGAAACATTGCGAGTTTTCCTGGAATGCGCGCATTAATATTTATTACGTCACAGGGTAAGTGATGTGTCAGTCGGACAGTGACAGTAGCCAATATAGTTCCAACCGAAATCTGTTTCTTATACAGTGGCAAAGCAACATATACGCAAAACAACAATTGTTTTTAATTGCCTTTCGCGGCAATCCATCGGTCTGTCCGCTAGAGTAACTGCCCTTTGTCAAAGGGAAGCTACTCTAACCCTAGTCTATGAGACGTCACAGCCACGGTCAGACGTTGTTAACAATCAGTTGATCCTGTTATAACGTTAAGAAGTGTAGTCAGATGTACACCAGTGACAAAACGAAACAAGGTAACAATTCAAACATATTTCGGCCAAATCCAACTATTTTAATTTGTGAAGTAGGTTTCAAGCCGCAGAGGTCTACAAGCACATCTATGGCTACTGATCCCGCTTGGCTAGGCCTCATGCCCTCGCAAAATTGTTTCAAATTTATATCTCCAAAGTTGCCAAAACTTATAAAATGCCTTAGCTACGTCACAGTTAGACACTGATTTTCAGTATATTAGACTGTTCTTTTGATAATGATAGCAATTATCCCTGTAGTTTATCCAGATTCCCGATGGTTAATTCTGACTCAATCGCCAAATGATGAGGGCGACGCCATGTTTGTTTATTAACTGTGAAAGTAGTCCCTACTTGACCTTTGATATTTGCATCTCTATCCGTATATGACCCCAACTGCTATCGTTTTTATCTGTTGGCTTTATCCTGCCGAGAAACCTACCCATTATATGATAAATCCATATATCTACATGTTAGGCACATTATGCATGTATATTATACCCCAGCCATCATATACTTAGAGATGTCATCTCCAGATTTGAGGAAAAAAACTCATAGTTTGGATATATTTTGTATTATTAGACCATCCAAATATACATTACCATTTTCAGCAGCATCTTCAATACAACACATTTATTCATTTTTTTCATTTTCATCATAATGAACCAACTGTATATTTTTTATGCAGGAAATACAATCATTCAGTTTAGAGAATTGTGATTTACACACCTCATAGACTTTGGACTTGGTCCATCAGAGTTGTCAGCAGGTACAGCCACCCACAGCAAGAGACAGTTGAAGATCTCTTGAAGGAAAAACTCCAGCTTGTCAGGACTTTTCTTTCGACAAAACCCACGTAGATTAGTTCTCTCTTCCTCACTCAGATCTACATTGTGCTCACTGTCAAGATTGCTGAATGGGTCCTGCATACACATGAATAAAACAACAAGCAGCATGAATAACAGATTAGATTCTATGCACTTGCTAAGAATAGCTGGTGAAAAATGGGTACAGAAATTCATTTCAGAAAAGCCCAACTCATGTTATTTTAAAGTCACAGTGTAGCTTAAATCTGATGTCTGGATACAACATTTCACATGAGTTAAACATTGTTCCTTGTTATGCATAAGCAGGTATCGATAATCATACCCAAATTCACACTGATACACAGGTCATCTGTGGAAGTCAATTATATTCACCACAAGAGTAACTAACACAGTATCTGGTTTGGTGTATTTATTCCAACAAAGATTAAGAACGTCTATGTTATAGAAGTGTCAAGAATGTGAGTTTACCTGGTTGTGTTCAGCAAGTATCACAGACTTCTGGAATGTCAGTAAAAGCCACAGTGACTGAACATGCCTGAACTGACAAACCTGCCTTGCCTGAAATATACACAATAACTTCAATATAGTGAACAAACTATAACATAATGAGAGATTTGTAAAAAATAACCCTTCTCAGTGCAGTTCTGATATTGTACTTTGAAGAACCCATGTGGTCATTCTGGCTTAGAACTATGCTTGTCATAAGAGCCAAGCTACCCGGGTAAATAGCCTGTCAGGTTCTCAGCAACTTGGTTGATTGTATGTCATGTTACCCTGATAGTGTGGATCATTGCTCATAATATCAATCAACTAATGTGTTTCATCCAGATTCAATTATTTACAAGCTGTTAAATATAACTCAATGTGGCATGGAACACCAAGAAAAACTTCCAAAAAAGCTCAATTGTTCTTGAAATAGGAAATATTATTCCATATGTATTATTCATTTCAAAATAATTATTTTCCAATCGTTTCCACTTCATATGACTTCTGAGTTAGTTCCCTCGCTTGAAGTTTAACGCTTCTGGTTTCTTGTCAGGCGCAGTGGTCCAAAATATCAAAATCCTGATACCCCCACCCACTCTGCATCCACCTATAGTATCCTTACATTACTGACAAAAATAGGCACTGTGTTTCAGAGACTAACATGTTATGACATATCTTTCACCATAGAGTATGTTGGATAATTAAGGTAATTCTACAAACCTTCTGACTTGTTATTGTCGGTTTCATCTTGAGCACATCTGTCATGAAAGTCTGCAGTGACTGGTCTGGATCTCCTCCCAGAGACTTGAGGAAGCTGGTGGTGATGTCCAGGTTGTTGATAGAGTCACAGATGTCTGGCAAGCTAGACTTGAGTTCAGACACAATTTGTACCTTCACCGCTGGTGACAGGGGCTCCTGAACATCATAAACATATATCTTGTGTATTTGGATTTAAATGGTCAATGAGAGGAACTACATGTCAATCAATCCTTGAAGAACAAGTCCAGTGAAAGAATAGATTGTCATTTTGTTGCAAATATCAATTTTTCGTGATACATGAAGTCAATTTCCGAGAGAGAAAAATGCCATAGAATGCACAGAATGCATTCAAATGTTCTAGTGAAAGTTATGACATCTACTTCCAAATCAAACCTTTTTGAGGGCATGGCCTAAAGCTACCGGTGCAGCAGTACATGACAAATGTTTCCAAACTGATATGTAGACCTGATTTCAGGGCCTATCTGCGACATAATCTATGTGGATGGGATGAACCCATGGAAAGAAACCCCAAGGAGACAAGACACTCCTTACAGCAGTGGTCACATGACTCAGGGCACTGACCGGTCATGAAATTAGTTGTAATACAAGGAGAAATGATGAACTGTCTCCTTTGAAAACTGTGCTACATCTGCAAGGAGATGGCACATGATGGAACAATAACAAACTGCACAAAACTGACCATTATGGACTTTGTGTTGTTATTCTGATGTATCAAGATATGTATCATATGACATCCTTCTGCATCATTGCACTGCTATTCTTTAGAATGCCTAGGGATATCCTACAAAATATCCCTGGACCATAACTTGATAGAAACTATAACCTGAGAGATTCTGAAATAGGTCTTTACACAAACATCATAATAACCTATTTCTATTCAAGTAAGTATGTACGAATGTATATATATACCTGCATTAACTTTACTAAAAATATTTCCTGTTTCTGGAAGCAGACTCACACACTGCTACCGGTTTCACCACCAAGGCTTTACAAGTATTTGAAGTCACATTTTGGAAATGTTATGTTTGACAAATGTACTAATTGTCCTCCACATTTTGTAAGAGAAATCCTTTGTTGCGATGTTTTTGTTTGATGGTTACTTAATTTATCCTGATAGATTGTATTGTTATTTATTTATTATTATGTTATTTATTTTAAGTTGTTAAAAAACTCAAGCTTGGATGAGAACATAAAGCTTGGCAACAGGAAGGCCCTTAAATTATTCAGCTCTCGGCCTTCTTGCCTTTCCATTCCTATCATCTCTAAATTTTCAACCAAACCATGTCATGTTTTAGCCTTTACCGGTACTTCTGAAGGCCACTTAAAGATACAAGTAAGCTGATTGGGACAAGCAATGCCACTTCTCAGCGGAATATTTTCAATATTTAGTTCATAGGGTACAACTAGATCTTCCAAAGTTCATCTGAACTGGAGAATGTGTGTTTCAGTGCAGGGTTCAGATGTTACTCATGTGTGATACAAACCTGTGGTATTCTGTCTTGGAGTGTCTTAAACACTGCAATGTTTCCTGAATCTGCCCTGTACACCATTTGATCAATCTGAAAGAAAACATTGGAGGAATACAAATTACCTGACACATCTACATGTTAAGTGGTATACAAGAAACATGATGCAAAATCATAATACTTCATTCTAAAATCCTGTTATTAACTAAATTTGAAACAATCATATAATTATCTAATACACATTACACTCACAGGTATGACATATGATATTTGTGCAACTCTTGACTTGGCTTGAAGAATGACTTCTTTGAGCTGATACTCAAATCCTTCAAAGTCATACTCAGTGGTGTTGCCTTTCCCCAGCTCAAAGGAGTAGTTACAGTTGGCCAGGACAAGGGGCAGCAGGTCACGGTCAGGGTGGTAGCTGACCAGGTGGTTACTGTGAAGTTTCCTCATGCTGACCTCAGGCAGGCGCTCATAGCTGCAATACATACAACATCCGAATTAAATTATACATTAAGGGTGGTAGCATACTAATGTAGAATTCCACTGAGCATTTCAAAACCAGAAATCATAAGCTACCTGGAGTTGATCTTTTCACAGTATTTTTCCATGAATTCATTGTGCTTCCTGAAGAGGAACTCCAGCATCATGTAGGAGCAGATACCGGGTCCCTGAGTGGATGGCAGAAGGACGGCTAGCGGGGAGTTCTCCTCTATCCTCATGTTCTTGTAGGCATCAGGCAGGAAAACCTGTCCGGCATGAACTGTCCTACATCCTAACCATAGTAATCATAGTTTTAATAAAGAGTTTGACTGAGAATGATGTATTACACATGTGTACAAAAGCTGTGATGTAATGATAAGTGGTGGGTGCATACACATCTCACAATAAGTTTCATTACAGGTATATATACAGGTAATAGTCCATGAACTTGGGCAACTCTTAAATACATTGATATGGTACAATTAGCACTTTCAAAGTCCTAGTAGAATGTTTGGTGATGGAATGTTTGATATAGAAAGACCATCTCACCATGACTATGCAGACTCTCCTTCACACATTCCCAAACGGCAATCAAATCAGGCATCAACTCCTTTACATCCTTTTTAAAGCCCTCATCTACAATGAAATCAAGAAATACATCTGTATAAGAAAACAAGTAGACAGAATATAAATATGGCAAAATTTCTAAAACCAATAGTGCCAGGGCCTGGATATGTAGTAAACATAATAAAATGTCAACAAAGACAGCCACTAAACAAAAGTTGCTGTCAGCATTGATATTCAAATATTTTTGGCATTAATACTTAGGACCCAAAATTTAACACTTAAATTTAAAGATTTGAACAAAACATGACGTCACCATGAGGAGAAACATACATGCCAACATTCAGCTCCCTCAGTCTAGCAGTTTCTTTGGGGAAGAAGTTTACATAGCCAATATGTATTTTGAGAGAATTTAAAAGCAAGGTCAAGACAAGGTCAAACAAAAATACCTTTTTTTGTACAAAAAAGGCTGAATAATGGCCATAAGAAGTTTCAGCTTTCTCCTTGTTTGAAGTGTAAAAGTCAAGTAAAAATCGCAGAAAAGAGAACATATATCCTCCCATCGTGTGTTTTTTTTCGTAATCTGTATTCGGTTGGCCATTTTTAAATGATTAACTTGCAATATGCGACGAGAAATAACGTTACCACGTCAGTGACAACCGAGATAAGTCCTTTTTTGGCTCAGACTGACATTATTCAAGTTCAACGAGGTGAGCAGATACAAGCATTGGTAAACATTACCTTTTACATGGGTGTATACAATGTCATCTCTTATTAATGTGAAATTTAAAATTTAAAAAGAAATCCCAAATGTTAGTTATTTTGATTTACAGGTTTGGATGCATGGCCAGCCGACTGAGAGAGGTTCCTATGTTCTTCCAAAACCTTAGATGTGGCTTATAAAGCTGTACTTAATGGAATGTTGGTAAAGAAGGCTGCACTGTCTTTCTCTGTTCCATTTCCTACCTTCTGTGTATGGACCAGTGGTGAAATCAGAATAGTATTATGGTATGTTCGGATGAACAAAACCTTCCAAATGGCGTGCTGGTTTTCTTGGGGGAATTAGTCAGCAAAGAGCCAGGAGTCACAGGAGACTAATTACAATTTTATTTACAGGAACAATTAACAATGAACAATTTACAATTACTTAGAAAATAGCTGAGGGTGCCACAGAGAGTCGGTACAACCCTCTGGGCTGTGAGAGAGAGATCTGCTTGGTATGAGTGTCAAACCCCTTCTCTGCCTAACATTTGGTTTCTGTATGTATTTAAAAAAATTAGAACAATAAAATGGAATATGATTTGTTGATACACGATAGGCTGTGCCTTATGGTTAATGAATGGCTAGACAGAGGGGAATACTTAATCCTGTTAATCCTGTTCGACTGGCACTAATCTTGTCGACATATTTACTGGGTGCTTTGAAAGAGATTATGGTGTCACTATAGACGAGCTTGTATTGGGGCTAATCCTTAATGCACTATAGACGAGCTTGTATTGGGGCTAATCCTTAATGAGTCTAAATTGAAGTAATTGCTGAATGTTATTCTAATATAGTTGATAACAGATTTACTTAAATAAAATAGTTCAAGGTAATCTATAAGACTATTTAGACATCTCTTTTGTCTGGGAGATGGGATCTTGATACCTTAGGCTAGCATTTATCTAAAAGCTTCAAATCTATTAAACTATGTAGACATAACTCTTGTCTTATTTGAATAGTATGTCTAGGAGATGTGCTCCCATTACCTTAGGCTAGCATCTATCTAAAAAGCTATAACTGAAACTACTGATATTTTATATATGCATTTTACCTGATGAAAAGTATTACTTGCTAAACTACAATTAAATGAAATGATGTATAAATATTACACCATGATAACTCATAAAAGGACTTGATGTGGATCTAATTATTATAGGAAAACTTAGTATAAATGTTATATCATGATGATAGACTGTCTCAAATCTGGCTCAATTGAGGAGAGACATTTAGTCATCTACATTCAAGCCATGGCCGATTTTGGACACTAACTCACATATAGAGGTAGCCAGTCTTGCCACTGATTTAGCTACTATCTTGGCAACCGATCCAATGCAGACAAGCCATTGTTCATGCAGTGTTTTTATAATTTCATCAAGCATTGGCTAGATCTGAAAGTTCAAAACTGCGCTCCCTTGAACTTTCGCGCACCAAGGCTATGTCACAGGAGACAGTCCGCCAAACTGGGAGCGTCAACATAATACTATTCCGTCTGTTTTGCCAGGACATACATCCCACATCTTGCAACGTATGGATGACAGATGTTTTGGTCCATTTTGCAGGAACTTACAACAACCTTCAACACAAGTTCATGCACAATCATGCTACCAGCTCTGTAAGCAGACATTCAATGTGTCAACTTACTTACTTACTTACTTTGGAGAATTAACATGCGCTTTCTGACTGATGCGTATTTCGCACACGGGCCCGGCCAGGCCATTTAATGTCTTTCCGAAAGGGGCGAAAGTGGTCTGTGCAACACAAGAGGGGGCTTTAGGGGTTGCTTATATAGAATTTGGGAATTTTGAGATTTGGAATAGATGCCGATGGGGTTGGGGGGGAGAACTAAGGGAGCTGGGTATGGTGGATGTTTGTTTGTTTATGTGATTTTGATTTGGTAGATTATTGTGTTTTTAGATGCGTTTTATTAGTTCCGTTTTGATTAAGAATACGCCTAAGGCCTTGAAGTTTTCTAGTTTATTTTGTGGGTTTAGTATTGCTTCTAGAATGAGAGCCTTGTTTAGATTGAGGGTGGTTTGTAATGCGGTTCGATGTGTTAGGTAGTGTGTGCAGTGGATGAGTGCGTGTTCTGGGGTTTCTAGTTGTTTCCAGTGTGGGCAGTTACCTGTTGTGTGTTTTTTTATTTTTTTTAGGTGGTTATTTAGGTTGGTGTGTCCTGTTTGGAGTTTAGTGATTACTCTGTCGATTTTTTTTGATGGATGGAGAATTTTGGGTTTGGTTAGTGGTTTGCTGAGTACTTTTTTGATTTGGCTACTTGAGTTTAGATATAGGTTATGCCATTTTTAGGTGATTTTTTGCTTGTTTACGCTTTTAATTTCTGATTTTGAGATGGGTAAGTTTAAGCTTATTTCTGGGATTTTAAGGGATAGTTTAGCTGCTTTATCGGTGTTTTCATTACCGTATATTCCTACGTGGGCAGGTATCCACAAGAAGGTTATTTGTTTGCCTGCCTTAGATAGGTCGTTGGAGCTTTTAAGTATTTGATTTATTAATTTAGGTCGGTTTTTGGTATTTTTCTTTTGGAGGGCTTCCAGTCCACTTAGGGAGTCGGTAAGTATTAGGATTTTTTTGTGGTTTTTGGATTCTTGATTATGGAGGGCTGAGGCCATGCCCATTAGTTCTGCCCTGAATATTGATTGGTTGTTTGGGAGTCGAAAGGATTGTGTGGTTTTAGTTGGTTGTGTGGTATGGACTCCGAAACCTGTGTGTTTGGAGGTCGGATCTGAAGATCCGTCCGTGTAAATGTGACACCAATTTGGCCAATTTTCGTGTATGTATGCTAGTGAGGTGGTTTTAGCTATGTTTGGGTCAGTTTGTTTATTTATTTGGCTAGCTAGTGTTGTGTCTATTTTGGGTATTTTAAGTTTAGGGGTGTACGTGTCAAACAAATCACCAGGCCTTTATCAAGGCATGTCGCATTTATCCTTTTGACACGCTGGCTCCTATGATGGGAATTAACTTTGCCCTTTCAACAGTTTTTCAAGAGGGGCAATCGTCAATTGTCAGGATGAAGGAGGTGGAAGGACTGTACAGAACATTCAGTTATACAAGAAGAAAGTGTGGCAATCTTCAGCAGAAAACAGAATGTTATAATGAAAAAATCAAAGCTGATAAGGAAAAGGAATCAGTGCAATCTTTTGGGGCAAGGCACTTATGGAGAACTTGATTCTGGAGAAGATCATTGAACACCAGGATACCAATCTCCAGTCAAAAAGGGAAAGGTTGGAATGAGGCAGAAAAAACCTGAACCGAGGCCAAGCATATCCGGCATCCTCTCGCATCATCCCAACATAGAATCTTTTGACTCAAACAAAGAAGCCAACTCAGATTAACTTTGCTGCCAGTGCCACAATATATAACCCTTGGAACTCCGAGGATGTGCGTCCTTTGTGTATGTTTCGTAGGCCCAGTGCACCCACCCTTCTTGTCGCCATTTGGTACATTTGAAAGTGTGTACCACTGTGAGGGTAGTACATGTGCACTCGGAGTTCTGGTGTCCATGTCACGACGAAAAAGGAGAATGAATAGGACACGTGAGACATGTACATATGTGCATAATATTTGAAATTGTTTAAAATGGCGATGATTTTTATTCACCAGAACTACCATCATGTAACTTGCACATTTATTTTTTTAAATTACTCATGTTAAGGATTACTTGTGATGACAACATTTGCAACCCTCCTACGCATCATATTTGTTCAAGGAGATCACTGTATATCTGATGACGTCACTGTCAAGAAGTTGGTTTTGGTAGCTGAAGAGTTTGGCCGATTGCTTCATTATTACAAGGGAAAAAAATTATCCTGATTTGTGCAAAACATCAGTAAAAGTCAAGTTAACAGGTAAGAAAACAATTAGGTTCCATATCTATTCATTCATTGTCAGGGCGCAGCAATGTTTCTTATGTGACTGAAAACCGATTACACGAGGATATGTACCACGAGTCATCAGGAGAAGACATATCCCCCTGGTCTGGTTTGGCTACTTATACCCCACTCATACTAGAATTAGTAAAATCTAAATATTTTGTACATTTGTATACTCCTTAATCCATTCATTGCTTACCTTGCAACAAGAAAACGGGACAGCGTACCGGCGATGGTCCTGGGTGAAGAATTAATAAACAGTTCGTAGTCCCACTTTTCCCGACTATCGGCACTGTCCTGTGACCTCTGTGATCTTAGGTCACCTCTTCACATCACTGCCTGTCACCCGAGCTTAAGAAAGACATAATTTGAAGTTTCTTAAGCCAAAGTGGGGAGGCAAGTCTGCGACGGGTGAGCCTTAAA